CCCCAAAACCCCAAAACCCCTCTGTGACAATTATCAATTATTTCATAAAAATTATTCTAATAATTTTTTATTTAGAAATTCACAATTAAAACTTTAAATTCATCTTAAATTTAAATCATTCTTATTGCTATTACTACGAAATCTTATTGTCAATAGTATTTTTATTTGAATTCTCGGCTAATCATTTCACTGATTATATTTATTCGGAACAAAATTTGAGATTGAGTGTTGTTCTTTAGAGCTCTTTCTTATAATTTATTGCTGCTTCAATCTGAGATTAGTCGATCCGCTTACTACCTTATTACTAGTTATGCTCATACTATTATTAGTGTGATGATTACTTTCAATGACTAATTTCTATTAATTATTCTACATTTATTAATTTTGGGAACCTATGCTTTCATCATTTCTATCATTCTTGGTATTGACATAGATGATATTTGATTATTTTGAATATGGAGATTGATACTTCCTCTTATTTGAGAATTTCCTCATCAGCCTTAGAGATTCAGTTTAGTTCTTTTAAGAAAGCAATTGATGCTTTGCAGATTATTGACTTCTTAAAATATCTGCAAACTTATGACTCCTTATATAACTTTGCTACTGTTATAAATTTGCAGATGGGCTAATCAAATCCTTAGCAGTAACAAAGGATTATGAACTTAGCTAATCTTATATTTATGGAAGCTAAAATCCTATTTGCATTTAAGTCTTGTTCAAATCAGATTATAAGGTATGCGTATCGTTCTTTATTCCTACTCCTGAGAAATTTCTCGTCTTATTCTTCAAACTTTTCCTATGCTACAGTTAAAATTAATTTGCTTTGACCGACTCCAAACTTAAAGTATCGAAACCTTTTCCAATTAAGATCTCATCATGTAACTTGTCCATAGCTCCTCCTACAGGATTTTTATGAATAGAATTACTGAAAAATCTCAATCCAGGATTATATTTGTTTGACTGTATGCTCTTTTAATAATTATGATGTATTTCGATAGATTTGTTGTGAGCAACCCTCTGCGAATTCATTTCCTAATCTTAACGATTTTTATCTCCGCCTAAATTATAAGAATTAACATTTACTTTAGGCACATTTGTCTTCTACCCATAAGTAAGCTCTTATTGTTCATCAATAGATTTGAAATCATTTGTATTATATTTTTGAATGGCAACAAATGGTTAAGACACGGCTATTTCTGTATCAATTGATAACTTCCTGTCATTTAATTACTCTTTAATAGTTAAATTTGTATGATTAAAGCTCATGTTTAATTTATCTTCTATCTCTAACTTTATCTGATTATTTAACTGCATGTATTCTATCTCTAGTTTATTGATTCTTTAAGATACAGTTTAAAAATTCTCATTAAATTCTTTCAGATCGATTGATTTTATATTTGTTTCAATTTATGCGTGAAAGGTCTTAAATTCATCAAATTAACTTTAGAGATTTGACAGCTGACTTATGTAAACTTATACCATATCTTCTTGAAACCCATTCGCTTATTCTTACTTTACAAATATTTGATTTTAGTTATTTTGATATTAAGATATAAGGCTCTATATCGAATCTTGGACGAAATCATTCATCTCTTATTTAACATCTATAATCTTTTGATCCATCAATTTCTCTAATAGGGTTTGCATATTTTTTTAATCTTTTCAACTTTTAAGTTTCACTTATAAGTTATAATTCAACAAATGAATTTCAAATCTATCGACTAGCTATTGCAGTTTTTATCCTTAATCAAATGCTTTTTCTTCCAGTTCAGTCATTATTTTCTAGAAAAGCAATTTATGATTTCATAGCAGTTGAATATTTAACATGGATAAGATTCAATGCGATAATTACTTACTTTGATTTCTTTCTAACTCATTACAGCAGGGGTAGTAAATTATTGTTACATATTTATCAGAGATAAGTGTATTAAATTTATTTATTTTAATCGATTACTTATTTCGAAATTTCGAAGTGGGGTTTTGGGGTTTTGGGGTTTTGGGG